AGACAGTGGTGGCTGCTGCACACACGCCCTTCCTGCTATCCTCCGCACTTCTCTCCAGCCCCACCACAGGAGCTCTTCCTGATTTCACCATAGAGCCAGGATGCCAGAGAAGGAGGGGGCGCTGGAGAGAATGCTCAAGGGGGCTTTATCTGGGGACCTTGTCCTAACTGTGTCCTCTGGGGCATGCTCCTGTCGCCCTTCCGCTCCAGTGCCACCCTAGCACTGCCAAGGGGTGACGGTGACACCATGACAGCAGGCTGATGCTGACCTGCTCATCCACAGATCCTGCGTTCTGCACAAGGACAATGATGCAGGTGGAGCTGCTGTGAGCATCAAGCTGAGGATGCCAAGGGAAGATGCCACAAACACAGAACCTGGTCGTTAGCTCTGCCCCCTCTGCATGGGACTGGTCCACTCTCCACTCCGATGCCATGCACGCTAACTACCTTCTCCATGAAACCCAAACTTTTGTGGTGACAGAGGATTACACACGCCAAATAACATCCATCCCCACAGCTGGCCGGGGTCTACTCCCACTCTTCCCACCCCGTGATCCGTGTGCTAGTAATGGCGTGGCCTGGCTGTGGCTGGCTCCCAGAAGAAAGCTTATCGTCTTTTCCCAACCTGGGGAAGTCCTGGGACTCCAACCCCACCCCAGTCCCTTTGTTCATGTGATTCTGTTATGGCTGGTGGAAACCACTCACGAGCAACGCTCCTGGTGTCACGGTCACCTGCTTGTCCCCTTCTGCGGGGCCTCACTGTAGCCCTGGCCAGTGTTAGCACAGTGTGACCGAGCCTGGGAGGAAGGTTAGGGAGAGCGAGCAAGTCACAGGGGTGATGGCTGCTAGGGACCTGTGGCCCGTTGCCTGCCGACATCACAGTTCCCACTTCTCAAATGAGTTGACTACAGTTCGCTGTGGACCAGAAGGAGCTTCAGGGCAGCATGTGTGTCCCTGGGCAAGGGGTGGGAGTCCTCTCCCAGGCCTGATCTCCCTGGGGTGCTGTCTGTGGTGTACACGTGTGAGGCCGTGTGTGGCTGCCTCTCTCCACTGGCTTGGATTTCCATGCACTGGAGGGACAGCTGCACATGCCCAGCCACGGTTCATGCACATCTGCTCAGCCCTAGCCCCCCGTGACATCACAACCCCTGCCTCCCCCTCTCGAGGCAAAGACACATGATCCTCTAATGGCTAATGGCTGCACTCAAGATCCCCGCCTGTCTGCTGTCCCTGATCGATACATTCTGTGACCCTGCCCAGGCCAGCGACGTCACTGCTGAGTCCTGAGACAGTAGACAGGAGTTCCCTGCAGCAGAATGACACCTGGCAGGTGGCTCTGGGATGTCCTGTGTGGCTTCTCCAAATGACAAGGCCAAGCAACAAGATCAGGAAACTCCAGCCGACAGATGCCTCCCTGGGGCTCCCGCTAACACCCCGTTCCCCCACGCAGCCTTGGTCATCTCTACGCCAATCCAGAGACTCCCATGCCAGCGCCAGCTTGTACTGGATCAGAGTCCCTGCTTGGCCTTGGCCTGGCTTTAGTTGCTGGCAAAGGGGAGGTCTGTGGACAGCTTCCCTGTGAGCCATCGCTGCTTTGGTGGATGGGGTCTGGGTCTTTGAAGGGAGCAAGGGCAAAGCCACTACCTCCCCTTCCATATAAAGTCCAGAATCCCACGGGAACAGAAGCAGTTGAGTGCCCCGGCAAGAGGGACCTGCCAGGGGGCCTCCATTGCCCACCCTGGAGAAAATTGAACAATTAGGAGGCAACCCCTCTTGCAGCCACAGCCTGCCAGGCTTGCTTGCAACTCAGCCGGAGCTCTCAATGTCCCACAGCACACTCAGCCGCAGCTCAGCCACTGCCTTGCGACCTGGCCTCTGGTGGTCCTTGTGTGGCCAGACCATTCTTGGTTAGCCTAGAGCCAGGAAGCACCTTCTAACTGGCTGTGTGTCCACACAGCAGGTGCAACTCAAAGAACATGGAGTATGTACACCAAGGCCTTGGCCAGCAGCTTCCCGTGCTTGTATTAACCTGTGACATCACACAGGGAAAAAAGAATGGTTCAAAAAGGTTGACTCATTGAAGCCACGGCTTTAAGCAGATCCCAGCATGGCAGCCTGCTACGGGCACTTTGCGATGCTCCTCTGCTGTGTCCTCTGGGTGGCCGGGGGCATCTGCTCCCTCTACCCTGTCTTGTCCATATGCGCGACAGCCTGAAGTCACGGCTGTGCAGCAGCTATGTGAGCGGCCCAGTGAGCTCCAAGCCAGCTCTGATCTCTTAACCCACCAAGCCCACCACGTGCTTGATGCTCAGTCAGCCCATAAACGGAAAACACGGAATGTGTGTGGGGGGGGGCAGTCGAGCCGTGCTCCGCTTTGGAATTCCCAGTGGCTTTTGCTAAACTCCTGCTCCAGGCTGGGTGTGGGTGTTGCAGATGCATGTACCTGAACAGCACAGTTATTTAATTGTCTGGACTCAAACCCCAAGGAAGCTGGGGAGGAGCCCACTGCACAGAGAAATTCAGAAATAAAAGCATTCGGTCACAAAGGGGATATAGAACACTCTGGTTTTAAGTAACGAAGAGTCCTCGCTCTCTCCCCTCCCCAACTTTCTTATAATGTACATGAAGCGGTGGGTCAGGTGTCGGTGGGTGTGCAGGTGGGAGGGACACATCGCGAGACTGGGACAGTCCATGTCAAGTCTGAGTTGGTGGTGGCGACTGGCGGTGTCCAGCCAGGGTGGGGAGTGAAGGTACACTTGGGGTGGGCATTGTGGGGTGTACACCATGGCTGCAGTTCTCGAGAGTGGGGACTCCTGAACACGGCAAAGGCTCTAGATGGGCAGCACCCTGGGGCTGGGCGTGCACGGTCACTGCTCTGGGCAGTTGGGCGTCAGGGAGCGCAGGCAGCAGGGGCTGCACCCGTCAGCTGCCTCCCTGGCTATCTGCCTAGCAAGGCTTCGGCTTCTGGGGATTCCACGAGGACACAGCAGCAAGCAAGGGGGCCCCAAGAAGCCGCTGACTCACAGGGGACTTGGTGGTGGGCTTGACGCGACTTCTTTTACCACTTCTTCCCTTAGCAACCCCAGACTGTCCTGGTTGCTCAGTCCTTTCAAAGGCTGTTTCTGGAAAAAGACCAAACTAAACCCAGATGACAAAAATGGAAATGAAAGAGACAAGCAGACCAGCACACACATGCTAACCACAGGAGCAGCAGCAGTGCTGGGCGCCTGCAGCTGGAGCCCGTTGCTCGGTGTGCGCCAGCCAGTGCCAGGTGGGAACACACACACTCGCACCCCTCGACAAACAATAACAAGAGGACAAGGAACACCCCCCCCCCCCACTTGCCTTGCCCCAGTCCCTGTTTTTGCCGAATCTGAGATGGCTTGCCTGTCTCTTGGGCTGCCATCAAACCCCAACAGGGACCAGCCCGCCTGTGGCTGTTCCCACATGGCTTCTCTGCGTGCATGGCTTGTGTGTGTGCCACACACAGCTTGGAGATGCTGCTGGGTGCCTGCCCAAGGACACTGGGAGTGGCCTCCAGCCTGGGGCATAGTAGAACATGGCTGTGTCGAAATCATCTGAGGATATACAGAGATGGGGAGCTGTCAGCCACAAGTCCCAGTGGGCAAGTTGGCCCAAGGGAGGGCTGTGGGAATCAGAGGGCATGGTGCCACCGGGCATGCTGTGCCAGCACCATCATTACGCCTGTGGTTTCCTTCTGTCTGCTTGGCTCCCATCTTATGGGGCCTGGAGGGGTTAGAGGAAGAGCTAAATAACTGGGGGCATTCATGTCCAAAGTAGGGTACGTTGGTCATAAGGAGAACAGACCGGGGAGCAGAGCACAACTTGTCACATGGGAAGCAAGTTACTCACAGATGGCACTTTGTACCAAGCCCATGCCAGCAAGCCGCTTGCTTCCGCAAGGCTGCCGCCAGCACACGGGTGCATGCATACATTGTTGGTGAATTGTTGGCTGTTTCACCTGCAAAGTGAAATGGAGGTACATCACAAGCTGGTGCCCCTCCAGACAGGGGGACCCCTGGTAAAGCCAGACTGGCCGTGGTGGGCACCGTGGACACACCAACAGTTTCACTCTTGCTTGCTTACAAAGTCAGGACCTGGAAACATTTGCCAACTATTTTTCTTTTTTTGTATGTTAGAAGCCAGAGACCCAAGCAGCAAATTAAGCGGGAGAGGGAAATAGCCACGCCCTGGTCTCCCTGTAGCTACAGACCACGCAGCCCATACACAAAGCTAGGAATGCCAGCTCGAACGTATTCACTCAGTGAATTTATTGTAAAAATAAAGAAACTCAATTATTCCAGTTAATGGATTTCACGTTAAATAGTTTAACTTTCACTGCGCTTCAGAAGAGCTGTTCATAGGATGATATGTGGACGAGTCCTTTCCTTAAGCAACAACAAAAAGGGTGAACAATAAATAGTTACTTGCGTTAACGGTCACGTTATTTCATTAGAGAGAGGAGCAGAGGACACCGCTGCCCAGCATGGCACTTGTCTGCTGGGACCGGCGGTGGAACACTGGACACTGCAGGCATTTCACAGTATCTGCACGCAGTCGGCTCCTGCCGCTAAGTCAGTTAGGATTATCATGGAGTCCTGGAGGGATTTTTTTTTGTCTTTTTTCGATTTTCATGATCTAAAAAAAAAAAATGTTTTTGCAGTGCAGTTATGACAGGAATCTGCAGTTACTGTTCACCTGGCACGTGTGCATGGGTGGGGATGTGCTTTTGGCTCATGTTTGTGGTGACAACAGCAACCCTTCCTGGATCCCACCTGCTGTAGAGCGTGGAGGAGGAAGAGGGTACAGGCGAGTCCTGCTGTGGCAAACTTTCACCAAACCACACGGCCCCGTGTTCTGAGAACCTGCGTCCCCCGGGCAGTTGGGGACAGGGGCACCCAGCGGCCTCAGCTCTGCCGGAGCCCCAGGGCAGCCTTGCTGCTGCCTGCTGCTTGGATTGCGGACCCCTCCCCCTTGGGATTATGTACACGTGTCCCCCGGCTTCATGGGCGCGCTGAGGGGGGCCAGGGAGGGCTTGGGCGGCACGTCGGGCTTCAGCGAGGGCGTGCGCTTCAGCCCCGGCCTGCTCAGGGAGCTGTAGCCGCTGAGGCTCGGTTGCCTGGCCACGGTCCCGGGCTGGGCCTGGATGGAGTCCACCCTCTGCGGGGCGGGCGGTGGGTTGTCCCCCCGGCCGAAGCTGGGGTTGCGGGAGAGGTGGGAGGAGTTGGAGGAGTTGGTATTGTTCCTTTTCAGGGCAGCGACCTGGTGGCTGCGGGTGAGCGAGTTCGTGGGGTAGCTCCTCTTATAGTCCAGGCCGTAGGAGGAGGAGGGGTGCATCTCCAGCCGCTTGCTCAGGCCGTTCTGCGGCCCCAGCGACGCCTCGCGCTGCGGGACTTTAGGGGGCAGGCCGTCCAGGTGCTCCACCAGGCTGACCGCGTGGCTGGGGCTCTTGCAGCTCAAATGCTCCTTGATGGTCTTGTACTCGAGCGTGGCGCCCTGCTCCTCCAGCGCCATCTGGGCCACCTCGCTCAGCTTGGGCTGCTCCACGTACTCGTGCTGGTAGCCCTGCTGCGAGGTGATGGGCAGGACCACCACGCTGGGGATGTGGCTGGGTGAGGCCCGCAGCGGCAGGTCCGTGGGGATCACGGGCGAGCCCAGGGGCGCCATGTCCTTGGTGCAGGCATTGATGAGGTTCTGGCTCCGTTCCCACTCCCGGCTGCCCCGGCTGGGCTTCCGCTTCTGCTGCAGCGTGGGCGTGGACTCCGGTGTGGGCAAGGCCGTGAGGTCCAGGTGGTGCTGGTCAGCCTTGATGAGCACTTTGGCTGTGCCCCCGGGCGTGGCCAGCTTGCCATTGTGCATGAGCGGCGTGAGGATGGCCTCGGGCTTCGGGTCTTTGGCCTGCGAGTCCCCGAAGAGGCCGCTGAGCTTGGTGACGCTGCTCATGGAGCCCCGGCGGGAGTGTGGGAGCTCCTTGTCCTTGCGCTGCGCCGAGCCCGCATCCTTGCGCCGGTGGTCGCACACGCAGTAGACGACGATGCCCGAGAACACGGCCCCCATGACGAACGCCAAGATGACAGCGATGGCCAGAAGGGTCACGGGAACCAGCTGGTCGTGGCCTTTGAGGTAACTCTCTCGAATCACTCCTGCAAGGCACAGCGCAGCAGGTTAGCAAGGGGCCATCTATGTGGATGCGCAGTTCTGACTGGGGAGTGGGGCCGCTGGCCTGCGAAGCTTCTCGCCCTCCCTGTCCAGTCAGGCAGCTTTATATTACTGCAATCTCTTCTCACTCCTCCCCTCTTAGAACTGGGCTCCCTCGCCTTAAAAGCATCTCTCTCTCTCTCGGCCAGATTACAAGCACTTGCAGGTGTGTGTGTGTATGGGGAGTCTTTTCTGATCACTTCCTTGAGCACAAGGGCTGCTGTTTAGGAGAAAAACACTTGCTTGTCAAGCAATGACGCGAAAGAGTGAAATTTCCTGCTGAAGAAAACAGCTCAGGTTCACGGATGTTCATGCCGACTTTACACAGCTCCACCGTCCACCCCCCCCCAACACCGCAGGGAACCCCAGGTGAACACACCAACAGCCTCATGTCTCCACGGGGGAATGGACAGCGTGCTTAGGGAAAGAAAGAGACCATGTGGTGCCCGCACAGTGCCTGTATGCCCGGGGTGCCCCCATCCTGGGGTGGGAGGCTAGTGGTGTTCCAGAGGCCATGTGTTGGTGGAGAAATTTCCCTCAAGTTTGCACATCCTTGTTACATGAAAGCAGTCATGGGATTTGCTTACACTTTGATTGTGTATGGGGATCTGCTGGGCGCCGTGCTAATGACCTGGCCCTAGACGTGTACGTCTGTGAGCTCCATGGCTTTGGCAATCCCTTTGAGGGTGGGTGCTGTGTACCGCCCTCCCCCCCCCCACGCACAAGCAGGTGGACACCATCCACGTTGATGCTGGCCTTGTACAGTTCAACTTGCCCCAATCCCTGGGAGTGGAACATGGAGAGTCAGGCCCATGTGTGCCGCTGGGAAACTGCAGAACGTAAACGTGCTCCCACTGTCCCCTGCCTTGGTGTCTTGCCTTTGTTCCTTGGCCTGCTCAGAACCCACTAAACACATGGCATGGAACCCTGTTGCGGTGGAAGACACATGTGTTCGGGTGCCCAGCAGTTACTATGGCAGGGGAGAAGTGCCTTGGCGATGTCACCAGGGCTTTGGGCACGTCCCTCATCACCTCCCTAGATCTGCAGGCGAGGGCCTTTCCTTGGGTGGAGATTCAGACTCCCCATCAGAGCAGACCGAGAGGCCAAAGCGCAGACTACAAAAGTGCCCTTCAGGGATGCCCCACAAAGGACAAGCTTCTGCTTACAGCAGGCCGGCAATGACCCACTGCACTGGGTGCTGGAACCGGTGATGGCCTGGGGCATAGGCTGCTGCCCCCTGCTTGTCCAGGCTGCTCTCTGCACCTTGGGCTTTGCACCTGTAACGTGGTTCAGGCATGCCACCTTAAGGCCTTCCTGCATGTGGAGGGGAATCCAGCTGACTCTGGTGCTGCTGTGTGCCGGGTAAGCCTAAAAGGCAAAGGAAGCCTCAAAGCATAAGTGTAGGTTGGCGACCAGCCAGGGCACCACAGGCGCTGCTCCCTGCTGGGCACCAAGCCCTGTGCTATCTGCCTGGGGTCAAGAAGGCGGTGCTGGTGCAGCCCAGCTGCCTAGGGCTGCAAGATGCAGAAGCAGTGGGCACAATGGCAGTGGAGGACGCTGAGCAAGAGCCAGGTCCTGTCGGAGATGTCCCCTGGGACGGGTTCTGTGAGGATGGGTGCCATGCTGGATTGTGGGGAACCCCTGTGGAACCTGGGGCTGTTAGGTAACTCAGCAAATAGCTGTCAAGTTCAGCAGTGGTGTTCAGGATGTGGGAAGGCGGGGAGCCTGGTCAGTGGAATCTCAGCCTGGTGCGTCTCAGAGTGACTGGGTCCCTGCTTTGAAGATGCAAAGATGAATTCTTTCTCCCATCAGGCAAATCCAAGAAAATCTACAGAGGTGCTCAATATTTGTTCAAAATAAGACCTGTTGGTTTTTTTTACAAGACAAAAGTAAAGAAAAATGAAACCATGTTGGTTCTTGGATCATTCCAGAAGCATCAATGAGGATGAATAGATTGGTTGTTACAACGTATGGATCCAGTGCAAAGGAATCGCCTCCAATGAATGAAGCATGTCCCCTGCAAGCCTGGGCAAGTGCAAGATTCTGTGGGGGGCAGACGCCAAGCTCCAGAGAGCCCCCCACTGCAGGAAGAAGTGAGTTTTCATTGTCCCACTCTCCTCTACCAGCCCCTACTAGCTGTCACCAGCTGCAAATAGGCCTGGAACTGACTTTTGGGTTATTGGCCCTGCAGTGCCAAGCAGCCACTCTTTCCACCTGGCTATTGCAGAATGCAGGTCCCCCGAAGTCCTGCCTGACGTGGAGTTATCAGAGCCTGCGGGAGGCCGAGCAGAGACCAGGACAGGGCTCTTGGAGGCCAAAGCAGGGAAGGGACCGTGACCATAGACTACAGCCTGCCGAGAGCCCCAGCAGAGCCTGTCTTCTGTGGGGACTGTGTCTGTGCTGATTCCAATGCCTGACCACAGCTGCTGCACGCTTGATGCTGACCTGGACTGCAGTCGGAGGAAGAGGCACGCTGAGCCGCCAGGCACACGGGTGCTCGGCTGGCAACAGGTGGGCGCACACACTGTGACTTGGAAGCACACGAGAACGATGTGCCTATGGACGAGGCCTTGGAAAGGTCCTGGGGAGACTGGTCTGCGGTACAAGGAATGCTCCCAGTCACTCTGTCTGCCACGAGGCTGCTGGGGAAGGTGGCCCTGTAGCTTGCTCAGCTCTATACCACCCAACTTCCAGAAGCCGGCATCGCTGCGTGAAAAGCACAACTGGTCTATCTGTGTTAAATGTCACTGTTTGCAAAATTCAAACTCTCAGGCTTCAAAAATACCTTTCTCTGCACCTAGCACAGGAAGCTGGGGGGGCATTTTTGCCTGCTTTAAATTTTTTTTAATAAATGTATTTTATTTGAAAGGCACAGTTACAAAGAGGAAAAGGCAGATGTTCCATCTTTTGGCTCATTCCCCAAATGGGGAGTTGGACCATCTCTTACTGCTTTCCCAAGTACATTATCAGGAAGTTGAATTGGAAGTAGAGCGGTCAGCTGGTCTCCATATGGAACCCGTATGGGATACTGGCACTGAATACGTCAGCTTTACCTGCCATACCACAATGCTGACACCCCCCACCCGTTTCCCTAAAATACAAACAAAAGCAGGGGGTCAGCACTGTGTCGCAGCAGTTTAAGACGCCTGTGTGCTCCTGGCATCTCTGTTAGAGTGCTGGTTCAATGCCCTGCAGCTCTGCCTCTGATCCAGCTCCCTGCTCAGGTGCCTGGGAAAGCGCACAAGATGCCCCAAGCCCTTGGTCTCCTCACTCATGTGACCTGGCTCCTGGCTTCTGGTCTGGCCCAGCTCCTGCTCTTGCAGCCATTTGGGGGGTAAACCAGGAGATGGAAGCTGTTTCTCTCCTTGATCTCTATTGCTCTTTCCAACAAATATTTTTAAAATGTGAAGCAAAACAAGAAGGCATGACATCAACCGCTTCCGGCACCTGCCTTTTGCCTGGCTACCTGCTCAGGCCAAGGGCAGCTGGAAGTGGGCCTACCTGTCCGGCCTGGCTAACTGCTCAGGCCAAGGGCAGCTGGAAGTGGGCCTAGCTGTGTTCTTTCCCTTCTCACACCTGCTCAATGGCTGCATGTTCTGGACTCTGCGGTATGATAGATGTGTCTGTCTCCAGAGCGAAGTGGTTAACGGGAATCTGGACAGAGCGGCCCCAGCGACCACGCAGACACAAAGCCCCTCTGTGTCCCTCGGCGGAACATGCAAAGCTGTAGGAGGGCGGGCCTTCCCTCCATTGCCGAGCCGGATGGGGTCTGCGCTGGGTCTGAGAGCTTGGAGAGATGGCACAGCACCAAGAAAAGCCCCAGAAGGAGGGGCCCCTAAAAATAGACTCTGCATTCTGCTTTATAGTAAGACAAGCCTGTAATTTTCTTGAAACCCTCCTAACAACTTGGGTGAATGGTATCTAACAAGCCCATTTTTTCTAGCCTGGAAATCTGACGGCAGCAAAATGCCAGGTTCTGCAAGGCAGCACGAGTGAATGAATTCATCGTGAGCCTGGCAGTGCGGCTCAAACCACACGGGGCTGCCCTGCGGTCCCTGTTAAGAAGAGCAGAAAAGAAGGGGGTAGAACCTTAACTGGAGACAATTTGCCCGCAAAGCCACACCCCCAGCCAATGGAGATGACCACACGGAAAGCGAAACGGGAGCTTGCTGTGGTTGCCCGGGCAGGAAGCTGCCGCCTTCTTGTCTTACTGCTTAATATGAACCAGATGGCCTAGGAACACACTGGAAAACCAGCAGCCACGGAAGTCGGCTCGGGGCTTATAACTTAAACTTTCCTTTCCCTTTCATTAAAAAAATAATAATTTCCTGGCAGGCTGAGAATGCGGTGCAGGGAGGAGCCGTGGTCCTTGAGATGTGTGAAGTTAACTGCTAACCGCGTCAATGCAGGGGCGGCTTCTTGGCCAGGCAGTGCCAACTCCCGGGGCCAGAGCTATTCTGAACGCCCGTGTTGAAACCACGTTCCTAAGGTTGACTGCTCATGAGCCCACTTCACATTCTGCCACTTTGGGAACTGCTGCCACCATGAGCAAGGGCCAATAGGACATGGTTCCTCTGTCCCTGCCATGTAAGCCAATCATCACCAAGAGGAGTGCTCCACCCCTAGTCTGCTGTGGTGTCTAGCTCGAGGGTCATGCCTTGGGGTTGGCCATTTGACACAGCAGTTAAGACACCCACACCCCACAATGGGGTGCCTGGGTCCGAGTCTTGCTCATGTGCACCCTGGGAGAAGGCAGCTGGTAGGCAGCTCAGGTGCTTGGGCTCCTGTCACCCCCGTGGGAGACATGGAGGGAGTTTCCAGCTGCCAGGCTCAGCCGGGACCAGAACTTGCTGTTGTAGACATTTGGGCAATGATGGATTAGTTCTCTCCACCACCACCTCTAGAAAAAATACATTGTAAAAAAGGGAGCCAAGGGAGCCATAAG